GCCCTCATCATCAGGCTTCCTGGGAAGTGAGTCTGCATGAGAAGCTCCAACGAGGCTCTGCTAGAGTCCGTAAAACTACCGTCAGGCCGCCTAAGTGAGCCCAGGGGTAGTGCCGGATCTCTAGCGAGAATCTTGTGAATTCTTGCACTGCTGGGTGTGTCTTTCACTCCCTCACAGAATCTCCTCCAAGACTCTCTTTTTCCCTACGTATGTTTTTGGTGTAATTCGTTAGAGCTTGTTTATATTTCTCCCATTCACCTAATGTCTTGGCCCGGTTGAAAAGCTTTCGGACCTCTATGTTTAGTGTTACTTCTGCTTTTAGTTTACACCTAGAACTAGAAAGTTTCGAATATAGTCTTGCATCTTCAGACAGGTTTTTATTTACCCGTATTGTATATACAACATTTCACAAGTATTAATATTTATTAGAATTGTTATTATTGCCTGTCAACAATCGAACATTTGTATTCATTTAAATATTGTCATTTGAAACAGCTAGTCAGCAAAAGATGGCGCTAATGTGAAATTAGAAATTGAAAGGATGTATTGATCCAATATTGACGTCATTTTTTGGATTATAAATGAATAAAGGATATAGCAATCAAATTATTTCAAACGCCGTTTTAAAAGAATGTGGTGCCATCTCTTACTTAATTGATTCATTTAAATTTGTAATTTTGTCGAATAGATGGCGTTAATAAAAAAAATCTTGTTGAATGTAATTTAATTTGATTAAAAAATTAGTTTTTATTGGCCAGCTATTATTACTGGTGTTTACATGATAGGCTAAAGTTACGTTAATATCATCGGTAAATGTAAATATTTTTTCATATTGGAATGCCGTTTTTTTTACATCAACTGGATTGTTATCGTCTTAGTTCAAAAGTCATGATAACGCATTAGTGATCCAGTTAAAGAATAACCTTACGTGAACAAACAAACCATGGTTATATTCTACACCTTATTCTTATTTTTAACCATACTTTTCAACGTTTCTAATGGAGAATATAAATTCCAAACGAAATATATTAATGTGCCCATCGATCATTTTAGGTAGGATTTTTTGCAAAAAATAGATTACTTTACTAAGCATTTTTGTTTTTAGTTTTGTTAAAAACGATGTTTATAAAATGAGATATTTAGTGAACGACAGTTATTGGCAGTCGGGAGGTCCAATTTTCTTTTATACTGGAAATGAAGGCCCAATCGACGTTTTTGCTCAAAACACCGGGTTTTTATGGGAAATTGCACCGAAATTTAACGCTTACATCGTCTTCGCCGAACATAGATACTACGGGGAATCTCTTCCTTTCGGAAACACGTCTTTTTCATCACCAGAAAAGTTGGGTTATTTAAATTCTCCACAAGCATTGGCCGATTATGCTTATTTAATAAAAAACATCCAAGAAGATCTATCGCAAAAAAATGAAGGTTGGCGTTCCAAAGTGATTGCTTTTGGTGGCTCATACGGAGGAATGCTTTCTGCTTGGATGAGATTAAAGTATCCAGGATCTGTGTATGGAGCTTTAGCCTCCTCGGCCCCGATTTTTGAATTTAACGGCTTAACAAAATGTGATAAATTTAATCAAGTTTTAGCAAGTGTTTTCCAAACGGCTGATTACGAACCATTTTGTGTTACAAATATTAAAAAGACCTGGTCGACTATTCGCGAATTAACCAACAACGACGATGGAAAATCCTGGCTTTCTTCAACTTTAAAACTTTGCAATCCTTTGAAATCGTCGGGTGATGTCAAAAAATTGATCGACTGGCTTAAAGATGTTTATGCAAATTTAGCCATGGTCAATTATCCTTATCCAACCAGTTTTTTAGCACCACTTCCCGCATATCCAGTCAAAGCTTTTTGTGAAAAGCTATCAAGAGAATATAACGGAAAACCTTTAATACAAGAATTAACCAAAGCTTTATCAGTTTACACAAATTACACTGGAACAACAAAATGCGTAAATATCAACTCAACATCTTCAAACGTTGATGAAACAGCTTGGGATTATCAAGCTTGCACAGAAATGATAATGCCAATGTGTGTCCAAGAAAACAAAATGTTCGAATCTTCCCCATGGAATTTCACCCAATACGCCGAAGATTGTTTCAAACAGTTTGGTGTTAAACCTTCAAGAGATGATTTAGCCATAATTGAATATGGAGGAAGAGACGCTACATACACAAACGTTATTTTTACAAACGGCTTATTAGATCCTTGGTCAAGCGGAGGATTTTGGCCTTCAACATCAACTGCTTACGCCATTTTAATTCCCAATGCCGCCCATCATTTAGAATTGAGAGCTACCAATCCTAATGATCCCAATGAAGTTGTTTACGCCAGAAAACAAATCCAAGATATTATTAGCGCTTGGATTACACCTTATTCAAAGTTTAAGTAATTTTATTAAATAATAATATATTAATGATCGTTCATTTTATTGTTTTAAGTGAATCATCAGAAAATAGGTTGTGATGATCTTTTTTTGTTGGTAATAAAATGAATTGTAAAGGAATTTTTTTTAATAAAAGAAATTAATTAATATTTTGTAATTTTTATTACAACAAATTTTCCTAAAAACTTGAAAGCTTTCTAGAAACCTGAAAACCTAAACAACCCTGTTAGAAATGCGGTAGACAACTCGTATGGATAGCAAGGTTGGGCGCGGGCCAACAACCTCGCCATATAAAAACACACCTGTTACCAAACCAAAACCAAGCCTCGGAACTAGGATTGATGTGCAGAAACGATTAAGGCGAGAGAAGGGACGAGACTTAAGAATATGGATGGCGACATGGAACGTGCGCATTCTTCTCAGAGCTGGAGTGCTGAGAAACCTAACATGGAGCTTCAAAAGTAGAACACTGGGAACAGCATTTGCGATTAAAAAGGCGAAGTAAGTACATGAGCGCTTATACACGATATGAATGAGATTTAAATTATCCACTGCCACAGTTCTTTGTGTGCATGTCCCAACTGATCAAGCACATAATCAGGATAAGGATACATTTTATGACAAACTAGAATGAACCTATGAAGCTGCGCCACAACACGATGTAAATTCTGGGAGAAATATTTGGCGGAATTTGCAGTGAGTAAGCGAATGATGAAAGGGTGAGGGAAAACTGCGTGAGAGAACTGCAAAGGAGGAGGGGCCGAGAGGAGAGAGGTAAGACAAATGTATGGAATGATAAAGGAGGAAAAGAGAGAGTTTTAGGCCAGAGCAGAGATGATTGAGAGCAAAGACGGCAAATTTATTGAGGATATTTCTATAACTGGAAGAAAGTGAAGTATGAAAAATCACAAGACACCAGGAGAATGCACTAAAACAAGAATAGTCAGAGTTACTTCAGTTCAAGTTAAAATCAGTTCCAGTTGATGGTAGAAATGAACAAGAGTTCCAGTTCCAGAACATGAGTGAGTTTACTCATGAGTTGAAGTTCCTAGAATGGAGTTCGATGGAAGATGAGAGTCCGGTAGAGTTTTTCCAGTGCAGGTCAGAGAAATACGCCAAAAACTAGACAGAGCAGAATGAATTAAACAATACTTTTTGGCTTGCTCGCGTAACTCAATGTCCAGTAATAATGGAAAAGTATCTGTGTGAAAAGAAAAACTACAAAGAGCTTGTTAAGTAAACCAAAACAAGGTTATGTAAAAAAGTAGGGTGGCTAATTCGGACAATAGTTCTAAGGGTATAGTTTAAAGACTCTAGGACCCCGAGTTTCCTTATCTTTTTGCCCAGTAGCAAAAAGTAGCGTTGGTTATAATGAAGTGTCTGTAAGAGTTGTCCGTCATGAGATTACGAGCCTGTGATCTAGTATGACCAACTTTTATAAAATTATAATGTAATTTTATAAAGGACGTTTTTTATTGACCTCTTGTCTTGTTGTTTTACATTTATATTCAACTTTTTAATTTTTGTTTTTTGTATAATAATTAGTTGGCGTGCCATAGCACGCTAGACTTACTTCCCCTACGAGAAAAGTTAGAAGAAGTTCTTTTCTGTATTAAGTTGGCATCAAAATGAGAGGTTATCTCATCGTTAAAAATGAATGCTGGTTTCAGCAAGTCGAGGTTTATATTTATTTCTTTATTGCCTTTCAATATAACGAAAAATTTTGAATGTCTCTTAATCACTCTGAAGGGACCTTCATACCTAGGAGACAAGGCAGGTTTAATACCACATTTTAACAAATACAAAGTTCGACCTGAACAATTCTTTGTGTATAAAAGGTTTTTGGCTAGAATGTAAGGTTGACTGAACTGGTTTAGTGTTAGCAAAAGATGTTCTTAAACTTGATAATAATGGTTCAGTTTCAATTGATGGTTGGGTACGTATAAAGAATTCTCCCGGTAATCTGTGTGGCTGACCATAAACCAATTCAGAGGATGAACAACCTAAGTCCTCCTTCAGAGATGATCTGAGACCAAGTTGTATTAAAGGTAAGTTATAGTTCCACCAAACGGAATTACCTTGGGCAATAATCGCTGATTTCAAAGTACGGTGAAATCGTTCAATCATACCATTACTTTGTGGGTGATAAGCAAATGTGTGTATTTGATGAGTACCTAAAAGTAATTGGAGTTTTGAAAATAATAGTGATTCGAATTGTTCTTGATCGTGAGTGATTGTGGTAGGAATACCGGAACGGCTGAAGTAACGCCTGAAAAGAGTATCTGTAATAGAGGCTGCAGAGATATCTTCTAGAGGAAAAGCCTCTGGCCACCGTGTGAAACACTCAATGACCATGAGCAGATAAGTACATTCAAGAGATGGAGCGAGTAGGCCAACAAAATCAATGTGTATGTGTTCAAACCGAACTTTTGGAACATTGATTTTGAGAATTGGCGATTTTGTATGCCTTTGTATTTTTACTTTCTGGCATTGCAAACATGATTTTGTCCAAATACGAATTTGTTTCGACATATGAGGCCAAAAGAATTTTGTTCTTATTAAATGAATGGTTGCTTGTATGCCAGGGTGAGATAAACCATGAAAGTGGTATATTCATGTAAGTGTAGCGACCTGATTGTTTTCCGCTCTCTCGTATTGAATCAAACAATATGTTAAATTCGGGGCAGTTTGGCTTCAGAAGGAAAAAATCAAGTTTTGAACGACGAGTGCCGTTGCGAGATTGTTTTGAAGCCAACAATTATTTACAAGCCGCATTTTACGATCTAACGAAGGCGTTTGACTGCGTGTCTCATGACTTACTTATTAACAAACTAAGTAATTTAATATAAAGGCGGATAAGGTACGCTTATAGAGTCGTACTTGACTGATAGACTTCAATTTACCAATCGTACATGGTGTCCCCCAGGGCTCAGTGCTGGGTCCACTTCTATTTTTAATTTTCGTCAAAGACCTGCTCAAAATCATTCCGAGGGATTCAAGTATGATTCTCTTTGCTGATGATACAGTAGCCACGGTTTGCGCGAATGATGCCGATACATTGCGCGATCATCACGAACTGGTTTCAAAAAAATAGACTCAGTATGAACGAGAGGCCAAGAGGCAAGCCTTAAATTTTTCCCTTAGACGTCTAGATACTTGCACGGCGCCTGTTAAATATCTGGGAATCTACCTTGACTCGGGCCTTACATGGGAATCACATGTTTCACATTTAATAAAAAAACTGAATACCGCGAATTTTTGCAATTCGCACATTACGTGACTTGGCCCCTTTCCATGTACTGTTTGGTATATATTATGGTTATTTCTTTAGTCATGCCACCTACTCCTTATTAGCTTGGGGTCATTCTGCCCATACTAATCGAATTTTTACAGCCCAGAGAAGATGCGTCAGAGTGATGGCAAACTTGGGATTCCAGGATTGCTGCAGAGTTAAAATTATTAAATTTGGACTGTTAACAATTCCATGCCTTTACATCTTCCACTGCCTTCTTTATATTAAAAATAACATTACCCAATATAAAACGGTTAGTTCTGGCCATAACTATAATACGCGGGCGTATTACTAACTATTTTCGAACGGCGAGGGCGAGGGACGGTGTTAATTACGTGGGCATACAATTTTATAATGTCTTGCCAGATCGTGTCGTTGTTTTAGAGACGAATTTGTTTAAACGTAAAATTAGGAATTATTTGAGAGAAAGCCTTCTATAGCGTGGAGGAATTTCTAAGTAATAACTTTGACGTGTGTCGCCCCTCGTATTTTGATTTTTGTTTCGTGATTTTGCTGTAGTTTCTATATAATTATACATGTGTCTGACTTGCGTCAATAAAGTATTATTATTATTATTATTGTAGTCACCTACACCTCTTTCCGCTTCCTGGCCATGAGTATGAAACGAGAAATAATAAATTATTTGTTTTTAAGCATCATTCCACAGTGAAGTGTTTTGTTAAATTATATAATAAACTGCCTACCTCCATTAATGCAGCAACTAAATATGAAAGTTTTAAGGAGGAGTTAAGGTTTTTTTAATAAATAAGGCGTATTACTCGCTATAGGAATACAAGGAGGTCTCACATGTTTGTAATATTTTATAGTTGTTTGTTAAGATGATGGACTGCTGGTTGAAATAAATTATTATTATTTAGATTAGAGTTGAGAAGTGAGATCTTTGATCAAGAGAAGCCCGTTGCAAAAATGAGATTTGAAACACTTTGTAATTTCAATTAACTATTGTATTAATTGGAGAAGGCGGTAAGAAGAGCATATCGACAAAAACCCGAGGGTCGTTATAAGTATGGTATCATCAGCATATTTATGCGTTTGAACAGTTACTCTTTATTCTCCTTTTTTGGAACATTCTCTTCTGTAAGAACAATCAAATGAGTTGTATCATACAGAATGAAGATGGTGGCTTCGTATATTTTTAAGAACACACTTTTCAAAGACTGGTTACGTCAAGGAATATAGCTGAATTAATACCGCTTGCATACCTCGATAATGTATTAAATAAGATTTGGTAAATTTGTGTCGTGAGGATGATATTCTTGTTCTTCCACTTGTTTCCATACACAACGTAGGATATTAAGCAGGTTGAATTTGATGGTGTTTCTTTTAGAATCAAATTCGGTACTTCAAGTGCATCGAGCTAAATTAAGAAAAGATCCCTGGAAATCCAAGGACTATATAGGATGGACAGTTTTTGTTGGAATAATAAGAACCATAGTGGACCAAGAATGTTCATAAACATAATTCATTTTTTGTTCCTCTAGAGATGGGGTTATTTTGAGTGCTCCTATATTTAATATATTTATTTTATTCAATTAAAATTATTTTACATTTTTTCAAAAGTTTCTTCATAACCACAACTAACACACTTATGAGTATAATTATCATCCTCTTCATTATAAGTTTCTTCCCCGAATTCATGAGTGTGTGAAGCAGAGGTAGTTTTATCATACAAGCTGCTTCTAACATTCATTCTTAATTCTTTCATTTGTTTCTGGTACTTTTTAGTTTTAGCCATAACCTTTTTCTCTTCCCGTTTTTCAATCTCCTCTTGTAACTTCTCTTCACTCTCCCATATTTCCAATGCTCTTTTCTCAACCTGAACCTGCAGGTAGAGTTTCATCTCGCCCCACCGAGAATTGTGTGGGTTCTTCTTTGAAATAAATTTAAGTGGTGTACCACGTTTTGTAAAATCACACTCTTTGAGTAAATAAGAAGACATAGCTTCGCTTTTTGTGATAAGTTTATGTTCTTCTGGATCTTTACATTCATCGCATACTTTTAAATCGAATGTTTCGAATAGCCAAGATTTGGCGAAAATTTTTTGACATTTTTCGCATGTTGGGCGATCTGGTTCGATTATTACAGGATTATCTTCTACTAATTTAACAGGTTCTGGTTCTTTTTCGGGGTGTTCTTCTAGCAAAAACCCACCACCTGTATCTTTGTATTTAACAGCACCAATTGAAATTGTTGTTTTATCTATTGAAACCACTTCTCTAAAATCGATAAGAAAATATTTGGTTTTTATTTGGTATTAAAGAATTTAACTTACTGTTTTGCATAGGGGTGAGTTGTTAGCCTACTCTTTTTTAATAAAAGTGCTTTTTCACGATTCTTTTTGATTCTTTGTTTTTGTTGCTCTGTTAGCTCCTCTTCAGTTAAATCATCCGATTTTTCCATTGTTTGGAATGTTTTTAGATCTTAAAGCGGGATTGCTAGAAATTTAACGGAAATTTTAACCTAAAATTAACCGGTTTGTTTACAAACATAGTATAAGTTTTGTACTTTCAATCATAGATGGCAGGATATGCTTTATAATATAAACTTTATGCCTAAGATTGGTAAAAACTTTTAGTTCAATAAAAAATATTGTTCAAACGCACGGCTAAATCTGAAACTTTCTAAAATAACAGTCTTACTTTATGTCTATATAAATATACATATATAGTGATTAAAATGTATTAATTTTATATTAATTTCATATTTAATTAAGTTTGTTATTAAAGAATTTAATAAATTAATTCAATGGAAATAAACCTGTAAACATCAAACACCGTAACTGTTTAAGGCATGCGTTTACACGAAATTATTTTAATGAACACACATGTTTCGATGAATATATCCAATTTTAAACGTATTATATTACAGTGAGTGAACGTAATTTTATCTATATTGTTGAAATAAATAGATGGGAGGATGTAATGATCCGCTAATGATTCCGAATAATCAGTTTATTCGGGTTGAGCTTAAATTACTTGATGATAATTAAAGTAATTAAGTTAAACAAGTATAAAAACATTTTAATCCATTTTTTCCTCGAAGACTGCGATATTTTTTTTATGGCGTAGAATGTTGAGCTGATTCTGAAACTGTCTTTAGTTTTTCTTTATCACGTCCAGTTTTCGAGATATCACCAAAAATGTGAAAAAAAAACATAGTAACAATTCATGTTAATTTGATGACTTACATTTCTATGTTTTTCAGGTAGTTGCTGCGATTACTGGCTTACATGGCGGATTTGCAAAATATTGCTGGTTTCTTTGCTTGTGGGATAGCCGAGCGAGAGAGCAGCAGTATGTGCGCGAAGACTGACTTTCTATAGATCATTACGATATTGGTGCTTTCAATGTCTTAAACAAGCCTCTGGTGAGGCCAGAATCTGTATTATTTCCTCCACTACACATCAATGAAAAACTTTGTGAAAACGTTGAATCCAGAATGTCCAGCATTTAAATATCTTACCGAGCTCTTTCCACAACTATCGTACGCTAAACTAAAAGAAGGCATATTTGTTGGCCCTCAAATAAAAAAATTAATAACGAATTTATTTCAACATTAACAACAAAAGAAGCAACGGCGTGGATTAGCTTCAAACTGCCAAGCCAAGGATTTTTAGGAAACCATAATAGTATAATATTACAACTTATTGCGTAATTACCATGCAAATATGTCGCTCAAAATACTTAGATTTTTTTCCAAGCAATTTTGGAGCAGAAAGTGACGAACAAGGCGAGGTTCCATTTAATGACATTGGAAAGACGTTCTCAAGGTTATTGGGACGCAGGGATTATCTCTGGAGTGTCATCACAAAAACCGATCCAAAAACACACAAAAAATTGTTGAAAACTAATCATAACTCCGCACTATACCAATAATAAGTAAAATGCTGTATATTAAACATAAAAATTAATTCCATAAAAGTTCCAGAAAACTGTCATATAAACCTGTGATATAATCTATAATATAAACCTAGACTGTATAATCAAAAAGACAAAAAAAGTTTGGCCAAAACCAAATCCTCATGACCAATTAATACAATGAATACAAAATGAAATTTTGCACGATTCTGCCATGGTGTCTAATGCTTCGATATTTAGAGAATTAAATATTCCTCAGCAGTGTTTCCCAACCTTTTTCATCTTTCATCTTAGTTGTTACTTACAGCTAAGAAAAAATAAAATGTTATAGATTTTCTTTTTATTTTCCATGTTATACAAGACAATTTTAATTCATACCTAAAAACACAAACTTTAATAGAATAATAGATACAAGAAAATCAAAACTCAAAATTGACACAACACTCTTAATGAGATACTTGCGCTTGTTTGCCAAAACACAGAAATTCAAAGTTAGGCTCAATGTCTGACAGTTTCAGTCTTAAATCAGGTTCTGCATATAATCTGTTTCTGTATTTATCTTACAAGTAAGTATATGTGGAAAATCCTTTCTCACATAGATATGTTGTGCAAAAAGATAATAAAACTTTGATAGATTTTTCTGACAAAATAGCGTAAAAATTTGTTTTTAAGGAGTAAAGTTTTACTTTTGCAGTAAAGTTAGAAAGATCTCCAAGTTTAGATACATACTGGACTAATTATCTTCTTTACCAGTGCCACAAAACCAGAAAATTTTCCTATCATTGATTTTGCACCATCTGTGCACCCACCCACACAATAAGACCAGTTTATTCCATTTTTTTTCAAAATAACCATATCCAATATTGCTTCTCAACAAGGTTATTTAGGTCAATGGCGGGTTATCGATAACACACAGGTCAAAGGTCACACGCTGTGTAAATAAGTTCTGAATCTTCAAACGAAACTACAACCAAAAGTTGTAAATCTTCAAGCGAAACCAAGATGAATAGTAAGTTTTTTCATTGAAGTAATAAATTCTCTACATAATCTCGTCTTTTAGAACAAATCGTACAAGAAATTAAAATTAAGCAAACAGAGATGAGTAGTAACTTTTTTTTCATTGAAATAATTGATTCTCTACATAATCTTTTGTTTTATAACAAGAAGAAGAAGAAGAAAAAAGTTGGGATACTAGGAATGTTGTACCATTCCCAGTACCCCAGGTGTGTTGGAGATGTTTGCAGCCTGATCATTGGCAAAAGCGATGTCCAATGCCAAGGATAAAGTGTTGTTCCAAGTGGCCAGCACTCAGAACAACAACGAGAAACTGTTTGAATTGTAAAAGCCGGCGGCCAACTACTAATTGTATAAAGTATAAATAAAAAAAATATTGTAGAAGCTGGCGGTGAGAAATTTTTCATAACCTTATCAATTAACATATTAAATTTTATAAATATCAATTAAATGCAGCGTGTGACCTTTGACCTGTGTGTTATCGATAACCCCGCCATTGACCTAAGTGTTGACCTCTGCTAGATAAACGTTGTGACGTCAGAGTTACAAGTAAAATCAGGTAAGTTCTTCTTTTTCAGGGTAGCTCTTCAGCAGCTAAGGGTACCAACTACAAGAACTACCCTTCTGACGAGCATCCAGTATGCCATCGAGAATTTTCGGTCCCAGAAGAATTTTTAATTTCATGTCCATATAGCTACAGAAGCACACTATGCAAAATAAAAAATATACTGAACATGAACCCTTACTATGTTTTTTAATTTACGATTTTCCACATTTTTTGGGGATATTTCGAAAACTGGACGTGATGGAGAAAAACTAAGGACAGTTTCATGGTCTTCGAGATTTTTCTTGTAAATTGATCTCCAAGTTTAGATCTTTTTGGAAAGGACTACATATCCAATTACTGTACATACTGGATTAATTATCTTCTTTACCCGTGCCATAAAACCAGAAAATTTTCCTGTCATTGATTTTGCACCATCTTGTCACTCACCCACACAATAAGACCAGTTTAACTATATTAACTCTAGGATGCGTAACATGTGTCTAAAAGACACATTCTTTTCTTTATTTTGAAATGGTGTATACTAATTTTTTGCCCTATTAAGAGTGCTTCTGGACAACCTTTAAGCACAATAATTTGATATAACAGTCGAAAAATAAATTTTATTCTTCATGGAACAATGGAGATTTGTCACATTAGCCACAACCCTCGTAGAAGTCCGCTCCTATTGGCTTTAGATTCCTCGAGGACTCGGACGAAAAGAACGATGGGGATTCTATGGGACAGGTATTAAAGGGGTTGATTTGACTCAGCAAGTCAGTCACCGTCACGACTTGTAAATTGTACATTGTGCAACCACGATGATTGAAAATACGACAAAAAATAGAGTGTTTTCTATCTTTCGTAAGTTTCAGATTCATGTATACTCAAAGTAATTCTTCAAAAATGTGCATATATTATTTGTAGATATTGATGAAAATGGCATCGTGCAGCAGAAAGAGAAGCGTCCGATTTTGAAGACGTTGTGTTACAATGGTACAACGAAGATAACACAGATAATGTTTCAGTTACAAGTGAAACTTCTGAGCCAGATTCTGAATATGTGAAGTCACCTGAATCGCTTCGAAAACATCAAAAGATTTCTCAGATTTAATGATAAGAGGACAAGAGTTGTAAGGGGCGAGAGTGACAAATTTGCTCCTATACGCCACGTTTGGAAATTATTTCTTATTCAATGTCGAAAAGTTATGATATCGAAAGAGTTTTCAATCATTGACTAGAAATTGTTGGGATATAGAGGAAGCTGTGGTTTCATTCAATATATGCCAAACAAGCCGGCAAAGTATGGAATAATTTTCTTTTGGATATGCGAAAGCGACTATGCGATTGATGGTCAAGTTTATTTAGGTGAAAAAATAGCGAAGAATGTTTCACAAAATGTGGTAATGACCTTAGTATCATCTATAAAGAATACCTCCAGAAACATAACATTTGACAACTACTTTACCAGCGTACCATTAGCCCACCCACCAGCTTCTAGCTATTGGGATAACATCTGTAGGAACACTTCGCAAAAACAAGCGAGAAATTCCAACCGGTTTTCTGCCATAGAAGGATCTGAAGGATCCGATCTGACACTAGTCAGTTATGTGCCAAAGAAAAATAAGTCCGTCGTCTTCTTGAGTTCTATGCACCATGATGATCAAATTTCACAAGAAGACTGTAGAAGAAAACCGGACATAATAACATTTTATAATAAGACAAAAGGTGGTGTGGATCATATGGACCAAATGCTTAGAAATTACACATGCAAGAGACAAACTAATAATAAGCATTTTATTGTTTTTGATAATTACAATTTTCCCCTTAATACATCCTAATATATGTCATTAGTATATTATTTTCACCCTCTACCCTCTTCCTCCATTTCCATACCCTCGGCTCCTCGGCCCAATCCTCCCCTCATCCATCCCTTTGTCTCCTCACCCCCACAACCATTCTCATCCATCGTTTCCCCTCTCCCCCCTCTCCTAAGATCTGCCCTCGGTCCAACTCCTCCTCCCTCAACTCACTGCACCCATTCAACATATGTTCCAACGTTTCCCATTCCTCCCTGCATAGCCAGTATCTGTTAGCTCTCTCCTCGTTTCCACAACGGAACCTAGCCACCAACTTCTTCCCTTCCTCATCTCCTTCCAATAACAAGTATCTAGGCAGCCCCTCCGTAATTATGTCCCTGTACCTTTCGTTATACCTCCCCTCTTTTATTTGTGTCCTTCTTTCCTGTCTCTGCACATCTCGGTCCCTATCTCTCAACTCCCTCCACATCTCCCTACCCACCCTTCGTCTACTATTTATCTCAGTTACCGAGTAGCCCGCTCGTCTATAATAGTTATCTCTGTCTCCTTTCCCATATCTGATCTTTCCTTCTCTAATTTCCCTCCAAAACTCCCCCAAGATCCCGCAGTTTGGCCTCCCTTCTATTCTTTCTTCATATTTCACTGCTCTCCTGCCCCCTCCACTCTGACTTTATCCACCTTTACCTCTTTCCTCACTATATACCCCGGTGTTTCTCTCGCCACCCCAAGCACCCATCTCCAATATCTAGCTTGCAAGTCCTCCAACATTGCCTGCTTTCTCCATCCCCATACCTCTGCCCCATACATCATCACACTGCTAACTAGACCTTCAAACATAATCTTCCTCGCTGCCACATTCCTTCCAAAGACTCTCTTCCCCCAACCCCATACTTGTCCCATCACCTTATTCGCCTTTTTTGCCATAGCTATCACATGCGACCCCTCCCTGTTGTCCTCCCTGAACACATACCCCAAGTAAGTATACTCCCTAACCTCCTCGATCTCTTTTCCCTCCCATCTCCAGTTTTCTGTTCTTTTTCTCCCCCCCTTACAAAACTTCATCATCCTTGTCTTCCCCTCATTCACTTCCAGCCCCTTCCCCCTAAAATATCTTTCCAATGTCTTTATCATATTTTTCATCTCCGCCGCTTCTCTCGCCATGAACACGATGTCATCCGCGTATGCTAACATATGCACCTTTCTACCTCCCACCACCAACCCTCCCATTTGCCCCTTCCCCAATCTATCCTCCAGGTCCGCCGTATACAGTGCAAACAGACTTGGGCTCAGCGGACATCCCTGCCTCAGTCCCTTCGTCGTCCAAAACACGTCGCTCAGCTTATCTCCCACTTTTATCCTAGCCATAGTCTCTATGTATATTTCCTTCACTCTCGCAATTAGGTGTTCCGTGATCCCCCTCCTCCCCATCTCCTCCACAACTTTCCCCTATCCACCTTATCAAAAGCCGCCTTCAAATCTATAAACAGGGCGTACAATTTCCCTCCCTTCTTATCCAGCTCTCTATCTGCCAGATGCTTCAACACGTACACGTTGTCGATTGCTCCCCTTCCCTTCCGAAAGCCTGCCTGCCCATCCGGCAAAATTCCCCCCAACTCCATCTCCTCCTCCAGTCTTCCCAGCAGTATCTTCGTGTATACCTTGTATGCCGAGTCTAGTCGGTTAATTCCTCTGTAGCAAGAGACAAACTAGACGTTGGCCGTTTGCAATTTGGTCAAATATTATGGATATTGCAGCCATGAATATATGACTATGCTGCTGGCAACAGTCATAAGCGAAGGATATTTTTGGAAGAATTAGCTCAGGAGTTGATACTCTCGTTTAGGAAAGTGAGGTCACAAAATCCAAAATTACAACGACACATCGGAGATGACATGAAAAAATTCATAGAATTTCCTTCACCAGGTACTTTTGAATCCACTACACCACCCAAAAAGAAGAGATGTGTCCAGTTAAGATTAGTCGCGCGAGCACTTTGCGATGCATAAAGTGCAAAACACCTACCTGCAAAGAACAGTGTGGTAATTTGCAAAAAATGTGTCACATAAACTGTGTTATATTATCATATAACAAATTCTTTTCAATATATAGAAGTGTCTTTGAGAAACATGCTATGTATTTAGCTAGGGTTAAATATTGCTTCTCCAGTTGTATACGTTTTTAAAGGTTTTTCAAAAAGCACATCTTCCTGAATGGAATTCTCATAAGTGTATCTAACATACACAAGCAATGTTATAGCAAAGGCTGCAATCGATAGACAAAAGCTCATTTTCTACATTACTTGCCATATCATAAATTGTACGTTGTAATAATAATGTATTATTTGATAAAAAAAACAAGGTCAAATTGTTTTTATGCCTTTTCTCCAAGGATACACTTTGCAATATCTTTTACACATGGTCCAATCAA